TGGCGGCAACTGGAGTCATCGGAGGGGATTACCGAGCATAAACTTTTAGAGGGTGTTTGATAGCATAATTTTAATAAGATTTATGTATGAGTTTGAGGTAAATCGAGCCGAAACGAAAAAAAAATAAAAAATAAATCAAACGCTCCGTTAAATCAAAATTTCTCAAGTTCCATCTCATTCACGATATAAATCTAAATTTATTGAAATCTCGTTGCAGGGCACCATCTCCATCGCAGGGGGTTTGGCAAATTCGAATTTACTGGATTTGATAAATCCTATTTAACGTAAAACCAGATTGCGGCAAACACCGCCAAACTCAGACAAAAACAAAGTCACCTCAAATGATATACCAAGATGACAAAGAACAAAGAGCAAAAAGCTAGCCCTTGAACTCCTAGATAATCACATGGACACACAATAGGAGAATTTTTTTACTCCAAGTTAGTGCAATATAACCCACTAATCAAGCCAAATTACCCAGCAAAAGTTCAATTACTTGTAGGCAAATTAAAATGAAATCAATCATTTATAAACAAAGCTAAAACAAACCCACTCTTAAGGGCCATTTTAACACAATTTTAGCTGAATTTTCATATTTTTAGTTTGCTTTTTATTATGTTTAATTATCCTCCTTGGATAACTTTAGACTTAAATTTAAATGTATTGTTAGTATCACCATCATTTTAGTTCGTATATAAGTGCTAGAATCATCAAAATAATTTCAACAACAATGGCCAAAGGTTCAGAAATATAAAGCTATAAATATGTACAAATAAAGTCTAAACTTCTCCCATTAACATTAGCCATAACAGCTTAACAAAAATGATTAGAAGCTTAATTACAGAACCAAAGCAACTAAAACTCAAAACTCTGAAATATAACAACTACATATTATCAAGGCTGGGATTGTATGAACTAATGCAATTCTCCAGTACTTATTCTCCATACCCAGAACACAATTATAATGTATTTACATATCTCACACCTAAACTTTCATATTTACACAAATAACACTCAATTCTTTAACATCACATCAAAAATAACACTTTTTAAAATTGAAATACATCTTCTCAAATATAGATTTAAAGCACCTAAGTGCTATGCATGTAAACATGAAAGTTTAGGTGTGAGATATGCAAATGCATGAGAATTGTGAGCTACTTTTGTAAATTTCACAAACAAAAATCTACAGAAACAGCAGTAAATATAATTATCTAAAAGTGGATTTTGAAACGGTCACATTTAAATAAACAAGTAATTTTCAATTTGTTCATGGTAAAACAGGAAGTTTCACCTTCTCAAATGAAAAGAAACTAACCTGTCCATAATCGACGATACAGAACTTTATGGGAATTCCACCACTGCTTCTTTCAAAACTTTCAACCTCCTTCCTCGAAGGTGGATTCACCCTGCGGTTCACACGGCAATCCAAAAAGATAAGAAAAAAAATTAGATTTCGAAGTTTATGTGATGAGTTTTGCATTCATTAAAAAACAACAAGATTGAATCCATTTTAAAAGAGGACCATTTGCATACATACCACCCAATTCTGATGCATTTACAAATATAACACCTAAACTTTAATTTTTTACATTTATGCTACCCAAATTTATGCTACCCAAATCTTTCATATCCCATTTAACTTTTAAAAAATGAAATACTATCAAAAATACCATTTTTTTTTTACTTTTTAAAGAGTGAAATACATCTTTTCATACATAGGTAAGGTGGCATACAGGTAAATATTGGATTTTCGGTGTTAGATATGTAAATGCGTAGGAATTGAGTGGTATGTAAATTTCCCATTGTCATACTTGAGAACACACAGTAGAAAGACGGGAACCCCGGGAGAAGATTTTTTGAACCTCTTGTTGGGCAGATAAACATCAAAAGTTGGCTTCATTTCATCAATATGCATTCTTTTTAACAAAGTAGAAATTTTATATTCCATATCTATATCATTTGTTTCATCAGTTGATATATTTGAGTTTACGCTCTTATTTTCGTTCATCGTCCAAGGGATTCCGTGGCGCCCGATAATGTAACCGAGCGACTTCAAGAGCCTATAAGCCTCAAAATTTTCCCAGCTGCACGCATGTTTTCCTTCTGGGATCTTTTTATACAGATCAGTTATACTAAGGACCTTCTCATCACTGTCAAGCAGATGCAAAGCTCCTCTTTCGGCTAAAAATCTGTGATAAATAAGAAGCACATTTGACAATACAAAAGCAAAAAAAAAAAAAAAAAAAAAAACATATAGGAAGATTTGCATACATTCCACTCAATTCCTATGTATATATATATATATATTTAACACCCAAACTTCAGCCTTACCTATGCATGAAAAGTATAATTCACCATTTAAAAGTTATAAATGGTGGTACACTTGATGTTAATTGAAAGATTTTGGGGGGTATAAATGTAAAAAATTACAGTTTAGGCGCAAAAAATGTAGAAACAGAGGAATTGGGTAATATGTATTCAAATGCCCCTAACATATGCTCTTTCCAATCAGTCCTTTGGGACAAAAACACACACTTTATAGTAATAAACTTAATGAACAAGAAAAAAAAGCATAAAAAAAAAGATCCAATCAGATTTTAGGCTAATAACTTCGATTGCTCAATTAAGAGGAATGACACCAACTCAGATCAGACAGACTTCTCAATGAGAAAAAGTTTAAAAGACGTTCTTCAATAATATGAAGAATTTAAGGTTATAAATTGTAAAATTCACTGAAGGTCTGCAATTAGTTCAACCAAAAGACCAATAAATTGGGCAGCAAAACATGGGAGCAACCAATGTAAGGTAAAGTTCAGAAATATCACAGGCTTATAAACAGAGAACTGTGAATGTAATAACTTAAAACTATTAAGCTTGGGATAAACATCAGATATTTCAGTTTTATCTATCTATATATTTACACATCTAACACCTAAACTTTGCTTTTTACATTTCTACCACTAATATCTTTCATATCACATCAAAAATACCACTATTTTAACATTAAAAAAAGGTGAAATACAACTTGTAATTCATAGGTAAGATGGCATGCATGTAAAAATTGAAGTTTAGGTGTTTGATAGGTGAATAAATATGAATCGAGTGGTATGCATGTAAATCTTCTCAGGAAGGAAGATAAAAGCTACAATTATCATCATAAAAAGCTAGCATAAAAATAAGTCAAGCATACATGATCTCCTCGATGTGGCAATAAATTTTTCCATTTCTAATAATTCCAGTGGTCGTCCACATGCTGCCTTTCTTTTCTACAACCTCTCCCATTTCCAGCTTCTCATCCCATTGAGCCCTGGAAACCTCCTTCCTTCAACCACAGAACGAACCCCAAAACATTGTAAGCATTCCAGGCAAAACAAAATAGAAAAACTGGGAAATAATGGAGGTTTGGGTTGGATGGAGACCCTAACCTGAACTGTAGTTTTGAAGAGGAAGGCTTGCTACAGCTGATGGAGAGGAAAGGATTTTGATGGTGCTCTTCCTCTTCTTCTTCTCCTCTTCTTGCCATCTCCTATGCAGCCAGCCTGCTAAATCTGAGGACTGATGGAAAAACCCTAGTTAAACAAAATTAAAAAGAGAAATATGAAATCTTAAACTACTTTAGTAGTAAAATAAGAAACAATGAAAGGCAATAATAGGGCTTTTTCTATTATATTATGTGAATAAGTCAATGAAACTCTTTGATCTAGTACAGGAAACAAAGAAATAAGTACAAAAAAAAAAAGAAAAAGGAAAACTTGACATGCCAAGCACAACAGTAGTAATATGGCTAATAAGTTGATTGCGAGCATAAATTTGAAGTTGTTGAAATTTGATGCTTTGAAGAGTGTTTACAGTTTCATACAGTCTGAGAGTTTAACTTGAACAATAATAAAATTTCAATAACTTTCTCAGAAAAAAAAAAAAACTCAAATTAAAGTTATAAAGAATTGAGGTTCAAAATTAAAGCACATCTTGGCAATTGTTTCAAATTTCAAGTTTTCCTTTAAACTGTAAAGTAGAAATTCTGCTGCCGCATGGAGAAAAAAACAGGCTGTGTGAGTCAAATGGAAAAAATTAGATTTTTCTTGGCTGGAAAAATAGCCACCATTTACAAAAACATCTAATTTTTTTCCCAAACAAAAATCAGTATTGACAATAATGGTTGTTGATTTACAATACCAAAAACAGAATACTAGTAAATTGACAATTTTTTGAAAGCATCCCTGAATTCCATATAAAACATAGAGCCCACGCTGCATAAACTCCACCCAGCTTGGACACTTCCTTTCCGCTTCCTCCCAAGCTCTTATGTCGTCGCCTCTATCTCCACCCTCCTTGACTTGCAACACCAGCAGCAGCCTCCTCCCTACCAACTCACAAATCTATGAAATCCTATCTGTCGCCACCAATCAATGGGAACTATCCAACTGTACAAGAGAACATCTATCAGTTGTCCTATAGTAATAATAATATGGCTATTTCTTCTCCATCCCTAATTTTATCTTGGGCTTTTACATC